CAACCCACAAGTCTGTCGGCACTGTGAGAAAGTGACCTTCCTGCAGATGGCTGTCTACTAGCCGGTGGGGACCAGAGGGAGGCGGGGGTGCTATAAATCCCTTCAGCCCACCACCAAGGGCGGGAATGACCTCATCAGGGTAAAGGACGTTGTCGAGGGTACTTGGAAAGGTGGGATAGAACCTAAATTCTGAATGGTCTGTTATCAGGCGAGAGGGAACAATAAGAAGAGGGAGGATAAGAGAGTGGATGGTACTGGGGGGCAAAAGCCTGCTCTGGGGGAGGGGGGCGCTCAGCACACAGGCTTCTCTGTTGAGAAAAGAGGTGGATTCTCATTGTGTTCTTTAGCTGATCGGCTACAGGTTAGTAGTTGTTTAATTCTTAGAAGTTACATAATATTTCTTATCACCCTTCATTTGCATGTGAGTGTAGTTTTCGATAATCAGACAAACACACACACACACACACACACACACACACACACACACGTCTTATCACGCTGGTCTTGCTGGCTGACTCTTTGGAAATTTTCTATGGTTTGCTAGCTGGTTTTTGTAATCAATCTGGCTATCAAGTTGAGGCTATTTATAATAAGTATAAAGTGCATTCTTCTCCAGGAGGCTGGTCCAAGAGAGAATTCCTTTGAGCTGAGTTTAAGGAAGTTCCCTGAGCCAAGACTGAAGGAATTTTTCCCCTCACTTGACAACAAACATTTTTCATGGTTGGATATGGACTTTCAGACTTCCTCTGTGTGAGTGTGTGTGTGTGTGTGTGTGTGTGTGTGTGTATGCAAGCACGTGTGAATGGTGAGGAAAGTGAGTAAAAGTTCTAGATTCTTCTCTCGACAGGCATCTTTTTCATTTAGGCCCAGTGGATCTGGAGCTGACATCTGGGTTCAGAGACAAAGGCTAATGAGGGTCCTGCCTACCATTTTTCAGTGTGGTCCCAGCCTCAGCATGGCCCTCCTGTAGGACTAGGGCCTCCACTACTCCGAGGAGGCGTGTCCTCAGAGATCTCCCCCTTGTCTTCTTTCATTGCTCCTCTTCACATGTCCCCACCCCCACAGCCGGCTCAACACTCCATGACCGGCTCATGACATGTGCATGACATGACCAGTGCATGACATGGACTGTCACTGGAGATGGGGCCTCTCCAGAAATTATACATGCTCAACAAAGGCAACCCTCCCCTCAGGGGAGGGAAACTGATCTCTGACGGACAGCTGACAACCTTACAGAAATCAAGACTCTGATTTCTCACTGCCCAATCAGCTGCATTCCGTAAGTACAGCTGTGAACGAAAGAAAACACTCTCTTTAGAGAAGTCCCAAATCAAAAAAGTCCCAGAGAAGGCCTGACATAACTGGTGTTAGCACATAAGTTAGAGGAATGTGAAAATAGCACCATTTTATCTTAAAAGATTCCTTAGAGGGTGGCAGTAATAGAACAAAAAGATGTGGAGAGACACTGACCTAAAATTCAAAAAATTAGGGTAAGCTTGAGCAGTGGGACCAGGTTGGGGAGACAGGTGCTTCAGAGGGCCTCCATTTCTCATTACCTGAGATTGGGCAATCGGGGCGCCACTGGAAGGAGACAGGAAACTTCCTCCAAGCTCAGGGCCAGATACCTGGAGCAGTGGCCTAGGCATGGGCTCCCTGTGGGGTCGATTCTACTTCCGCCTGCATAGGCAGGAGAGGTGACCTGGAGCAGGATATTGGCCTTGCTGGTCCCTGTGTTCATTGGTAGAATGAAGACAAAGGCGTAATTCACTGGTTTGGGAGGAGGCATTGAAGTTATTTGTGCTGGTGGCTAAGTCGTGTCGGGCATGCTGTCTCCCTTCTAGTACGATAGCCAGGAGACTATGCACCAAGATTGCACCTGATGTCCTGGGCTCTCGCCCCTAGAGAGATCTGCACATAGCTCAGTCTTTCCTGTGATTGGTGGACTGGGCCCCACTAGGGTCCAGTGAGCTGCAGCCGAGGGCTTTCTAAAAGATGACCCCAGAAGAGGATGGAGCATGCATTGGGGTATTACATGAGCAGGTGTTCCTCAGAAGCTTCAGGGTCTCCTCTGTTGCTAAAGCCACACCTGGACACTAAAGGGTGAGTGGTTCAGATGTTCCCTGGATTCCCGACCTTCGATCCAGATGTGACCTTGAGTCTGAACTAACCCTACATCTTACCATTTAACCCCAGCTAGACTGCAGGGTATGTCCTCCCCACTGACAGCTAGTTAACCCACACACCCCATGCCCAATTCTGACTTGGGCCCTAACCTGGCTCAGTTCTCATTCTCCCATGGTCCCTGTCCTAATTTTACCGATTATCCAACATTGTGCAAACGCTTCCACCTTTGCAGGTTTTCTGTGCCTGTGTCCCTCCCTGCTGGGCTTATAGTTACTTAATACTGATGATAAGCAGACCTTTGAAGAATTCCAAGTTAGTGGCATTTTGAGCAACTGTACCTCAGAAATCAGCAAGATCGGTAAAACTGTTCTTGGTAGGTGTTCAGACAAATATAAAGAGTTCAACATTTGAAAATTGTTCTCCATAGTCAGCTACCTGTCTCCTGTAGCCCCAGAAGGATGCCCGACACATTACAAAGGGCAGTGATACATCATGCCTGGGCTACCAACCCTAGCAGACCTGTGCACAATGGTCTGCCAAACCTCTGGTCAGACACGTGGGCTGTGGCGCCCTCTGCTGGCAGATGCTGGGAGTATCGTGAGGTTGGCTCCTCTTCTACCTGGGATGGTTCAGAGTCCTGACTTAATGGTTAGTGTATCACAGCCAGGGAGTCCATGCTAACTAGCTGTGCCCTTAAAAAAAGAAGAAGGAGAAGGAGAAGGAGAAGGAGAAGGAGAAGGAGAAGTAGAAGGAGAAGGAGAAGGAGAAGGAGGGGAGAAGGAGGGGAGAAGGAGGGGAGAAGGAGGGGAGAAGGAGGGGAGAAGGAAGGGAGAAGGAGAGGAGAAGGAGAGAAGAAGGAGGGGAGAAGGAGGGAAGGGGGGGGGAGGGAGGGAGGAGGAGGAGAAGGAAGAAGAAGGAGGAGGAGGAGGAAGAGGAGGAGGAAGAGAAACAACCCGGAATGCAGGTGAGCCAGACAAACCTAGGGTGTTGGCAGGGAGTCTCAGAAGACCTAGGAGATTTGCTGAGGGGGGCAGGATCAAGGTTAGACTTTAGACTTTGAAGGTGAAATGGAGTAGGGTCCGGGTGGAAGAACAGCAGACACTTGGGTAGCACTGGGGTGATGTGCAGTTTGGAGACGTATTGTTGGGGCTAGGCTAAAGCAGACTTTCAAGGGACAGTCACAAGGACATGAGCTAGCCTTTGTACCCAAAAGAAGGGTTGGGGCAGGAATGAGCCAACCACTGCTCATCTGCTATGACACGGCGGTGCCTGACTCTCCCTGGCTCTCTCCATAGATCTAGATACCTCTCCCCCAACACAGTGTGTGTTCTTGGTATGTTGCTAAGACTTGCTGTTTGTTTTCTTAAGAGTGGTAACTCTCATCTTGTTTTGTCTGTAAAATAAGACCTTAAGTCACAAGCCCTGATCTTTCCATTTATTCCAGCAAAGATCTCATGAAGCAAAAATATAATACACATTATCTCACTTCACAGAGGAGCTGCCTGAGGACCAGGGGGTTAGGAGTACCAGATCAGGTACCACAATCTACCAGAAACTGAATCCCAATTTCCAGATCATTAAGGTTTTAGTTGGTGCGTCTGTGGGTAAATCTTGACAATTTAAGACGTGGCACACACAGCATATTTAAACTTTTGCTATATTTTGGTCAAAGGGCCAAGCTGAGTGACTAAAGCTCTGGGAGTGGGACTTGGGCACCTGGGACAGGAAGTGGGTACACTGGCAGTACTGCTGATCAAGCCCAGCAGCTCACTCAGCCGGGGACCATGATTCCCTAGAATGCTGTACACTGAAGCTTCAAAAGTTCTAAGCTAAGCTCCGTCCAAGATATCAAAGGCAATGTATGAACCACACGCTGTCCACTCCCTATGATGCTCCTCACTTTTTTTTTTTTAAAGATTTATTTATTTTATGAATGTGAGTACACAGTTGCTGTGATCAGACATACCAGAAGAGGGCATCAGATCCCATTACAGATGGTTGTGAGCCACCATGTGGTTGCTGGGACTTGAACTCAGGACCTCTGGAGGAGCAGTCAGTGCTCTTAACCACTGAGCCATCTCTTCAGCCCTGCTCCTCACTTTCAATTTATAGAATTTTACTGCCAGCTCTAGAAACTTGAAGACAGGAGAGGATCCAGCAGCGACGTGCCTGCAAGTCCTGGTTGCTGGCTCCTGCCTCCCTCTGGAGGCAACTCTTGAAGTTGGTGCCTCTCACCTTTGGAAACCATCCTGAGGAAAGTCCACCTGGGTTTCCCAACTTGAAATAGAAGATTAATGTCCTTAGCTCTGGACAAAGAGATATGCTCAGCTCTGTCAGACTCCAAAAGACTCCTCAAAGCCAAGTTGGGGAACTACCTGCTCACCTATGCCTGGGAGAGCCTTTTGTACCCAGGAAAGAGGCAGCTCAAAGGCTCCTCTAGGGAAGGAGGGAGTAGGAGTTTGTGAGAAACGTTAGGGTTTCAGGATTCACACGTTTGCTAAAGGCTGTGGCAGCAGTGATGGGGGCGGGGCTTCCTTCTGTCATTAATCCATCATCAGCTGAAGACAAGCAGCCTGCTGAGGCTGGGACTCAGTGGGCCCTGTTTAGTTCAGGGACAGGCTGAGGGCAAGGTGTGAGGCATGGCCCCAGCACTGCCTTGCCAGTACAGCCAGGCAAGGGTCTCAACTTCCTTTCCTCTCCCATCCTTATCCCCACCCAGAACCAACTCTAATGGAGTTTCCAGAGCTCAGCCTTACTGTGGAAGGAATGAGTTTCTACAGAATGCCTTAGAGCAGCCATTCTCAACCTGTTGGTCATGACCCATTTGGGGGCCAAACGACCCTTTCATGGGGGTCGCATATCAGATATTCTCCATCCCAAATGTTTACAATTTATTAACTAGCAAACTTAGTCGTGAAGTAGCAACAAAATGACGCTATGGCTGCGGGGGGGGGGGTGTCCCCACAACATGAGGAACTGTATTAAAGGGTTGCAGCGCTGGGAAGGTTGAGAACCTCTCCCTTAGAACACCCTTAGGATGACTGAGAGGTGTGAGCAGGCAGGCATCGCCCGTATCAAAGTGGAGGCTGCCAAGACTGGCACTCTGGGCTGTCTGGAAGACACCCTAGGAGCAAGCAGGGAATGGCTCAGGGAGGGAGATGAACAGCAATAGCAGTTCAGACAACCACAGGGAACAACTGACCTCCAAGATGGCCGTAAGGTCAGGGAGCAAAGGCTCAGAATGAGAGCTGGGGTCCAAGGGTAAGGATGCATCTTAAGGGTGCTCCAGTAGCCTGCTGCCCAACCCTGAAAGCCCAGGACAGTAGAGCCGGCTGGGGACTGAGGTAATACCGCAGGCCAGCCATCGCACAGAACGCTGGAGTTCTGGCCTTTTCCTAATTGAACTCAACGTGCATGGCCAGGGGGGTTCTCAGCTTCCCTCTGTGGGGGATGTGTGGTCTGAGGCAACAATGTTGCTCCGAATTAAGCATAGAGAACCACCGGGAGAACCTGTTGACACTATAGGCCCTGCTCCACAGAGCCTGATTCTGGAGACCTTCGGTAAAACCCTTCCCAAGCTCGAGATGCCCGTGCTCCTCTGGATGTCCCGTGGAAGGGCTGAACAGGTGGCCTAATGAACAAAAAGTCTGAAGGGTCAGCGTGTGGAAATGGGTGTGAATGGAGCAACACTTCCTGTCTCTCTGCTGCGGGAAGGCCCCCTCGGAACAAAAGTACTTTAAGAAAAATAAAATTGAACGCGGTTAGCCTCTCGTCAGTTGGGGCCAAGAAAACCCAAATTCGTGAGGGCAATTTGGTTCGAAAGGCACTTTGCGTGCTCGTGGGGCTGCTGGTACAGCGGCCGGTGCCACCTTAAAGTGGGCCATCAGCAGGTCACTTGGGACTTGGATTGAGCATCCAGGGAGAGCTTCAAGGCCACCCGTGGTAGTGGTAGGTGGTGACTAGGGCACTTGAGAGCCCAGAGGCCATGCCTTCTTTGTGCAAGCCTTCCTGGTTCTGCTTCTAGAAGGGAGGTCTAAGTCTGGGGTGCCTTTGGTGTCTGCTGCAGGAATTTTAGAGAAAGGGAGTTTGGTCCCAGAGAAAGGATATCTGTTCTGAACTAAATGATCAGGGCCTGGGAATGTAGCAAAGGGTGGAGCCTGGCTCAGGGATGCCCCTCCCTCTGTGCTAAGCAGCTAGGCCAGGCATCCCTTATTTTCAGCTCTGCCAGACAGAGAAGCAGCATTGCCTTCTACCCCAGCAGGGTCATGGCCTTCCAACAGTCCTTCCAGGTAGGTGCTCAGAGCCTGCAGGAATTGGGCAACGTGGGTGGAAGTCGATGACGGGGTGGTCTGCAGGCTCAGATAGCGGACATACTTCTTCAAGCCCTCTTGCCGGTTGCTACGGTACGCAGTCAGCAATTCCAGGAAGCTCACACTGTGGATGGCCAAGAGGCGGGCCTCAGGCGGCGGCAGGACATTTGCCTGAATTAGGGGCTGCAGGGAAGCAAAGCACTGCAAGTTACTGAAGGAGTAGATATGCTGGAGCAGCCGCAGTCCTGGGGAGATCTCAAGGAGGCAGCACAGGTCTCGCATGGCCAGAACAGCAGCCAGGGCACTCCGTTCACTCATGTTTCTCGCCAGGTAGGTCTTGGCTAGGTTCCTAAGTTTGAAGCTGCTGGCGCCCGGTATGCGTTCCCGGATGAGGGGCAACACAGCCAAGAAACCTGAGATGGCTTCCTGGAATTCCCACAGTTTGTTAATATCATTCAGGGCCTGGAAGAAGATGGGGAGTCCGGGCCCCCACAGCCTAGGACATGCCAAGATGGGACGGTGCATGGAGGTGAGGAAGCCGAGGAAATGCTGTAGCCCCGTCTCCAGGGAGACGGCCTTAGAGTAGACACTGAAGGCCTCGGGCTGGATGAGCACTCGGAACTTGCTCTCCCGGTTCACGGCTGCCAGCTGGCTAATTTTCTGGGCTAGGCGGGAAAGAAGGGCAGGGTGAGGTTTCAGGGTTCAGGAGGTGCTGGGGCGGGTGCAAGGGATCGGGCTGCTGACCCACTGTCTAGAAATCCCACCTTGAAGCTGACTGGCAGGAACCAACTATCTTCCATATGTAGTTCTCGCCTGGCTCTGATTGGAGGGCAGAGATGGCTCGCCTGCCCTGCTCTTCCTATCCCTCCTGTCCTGGAGTTTGCCCAACCCTTAGGATTCTGGCCATTTTGTATTTTCTCAGCCTCCACCTCCAACAGAGACCCCGGAGTGTTTCTTCTCAGCCGTCTATTATTGTTTCCACCTCCAACCCCTTCAGTCTCTGCTGGATCAGTCCTGGGCTGTATCCCTTAAGAACATGGCCCAGAGACTCCTCCTGAAGCCCAAAGATGGCTTTTTTTGTGCTATGGAAATACCTGATGATTCTAGCTGGCTGGGTTAACCTCAATATCGGGCCCATATCTGTTGGCCAGAGCAAGGGTGACAGAGGGAAGACTAGGGGCTTCCAGGAGAAGTCACAACTCTCTGTGACCGGGGTTCTGCAGGCCTCCCCTTGTATCCGCTGGTGGGCTAGCTGGGCCCTGTTCTGGGAAATGTGTGGTCACAGCCACTTGTCAACAATGGCCTACACACTGTTCCCAGCCTCTCCACAGAGGTTTTGTCAGAAGTGAATCTGTGGGGTTCATGTCTCCCTCTCATGTCCTGGTTCCACTCAGGCAGATACGGTAACCCTTGGCATCCCAAGTGTGTCAGAGTCCTCTGTCCACCTGGCTGTCACAGCTGGCTAGGGGCTGGTCAGAGCCTTAGAGGTGGCTCTACCTGCATCTTCCCTGGGGACTCAGAGACTAAGCTATAAAGAGGTAGGATAGGTCTTGGGGAACCCACTTTCATCATCAATCTTGAGGTCAAAGAAAACCAGGGTCCTGTCTTCTAAGCGGGGCTCAGCGAGGCTCTCATCCAAGGCCTTGAGGGAATTAGGGCCCTCCAGCTGGATGCCGCTGGACTCATTGCTGCTATCGTCCAGCTCGTGGGAGGACTGCAACACAAAGAAGCCAACAGGTCAGTTCAGAGGCCTTGAGGGTCCAAGGCCAGGCAGGTCGGCACTCTAGAGCAAGTGTGCACACAGGAGGCTGGAGGGATGGTACCCGGCTCTCTGTGCACAGGAGAGGGGGGGATTAGTGGGGATGCACAAATGGCATATGCAGGTGTGAACTGGACGTGTTATGTTGTCACACGTAAGGGTCGCACACGTGAGAGCCAGGGCTGTGGCTTCTGGAGAACGCCTCTGGCTGCAGCGAGAGTTAACATCCCTGGTTATTGGTTTTGTTAACTTGACACAAGCTAGAGTTATCTGAGAAGGGGGAGCCACAGTGTGGGAGAATGCCTCCTTCTGTAATTAGTGATTGATGTGGAGAAGCAAAGCCCACTGAGAGCGTAGCCATCGCTAGGTACATGGTCCTTGGGTGTATAAGGAAGCAGGCTGAGCAAGCCAGGAGCAGCAAGCCAGTAAAAAGTATTCTTCCATAGATCCCGAATCAGTTCCTGCCTTGGGTTCCTGTCCCGACTTCCCTGGATGATAGACTACAAGCTGTAACCTGAAATTAGTGGCTTTGGGCCATGGTGTTTATCATCCATCCTTCCAAAACACTTGCTTTCCACAAACCTGCAGCCAAAAGAAGTTGTGTTGCTCACTAGAAAACTAACCAGGGCTGGGCTCTCCTGAAGGAGGCTACTTTCCATTCAGTTTTGATTTTGTAGTTCTGCAATCAGGCACCCCAACTTCCTCCCAGCCTGCCTCGCACCCAGACACCCCACACTGCTTCTCCTTCCCCGTGAGGACCTTTCTGGAGGTGTCTTCCTAGTTGCAAGCTAAGGGCCGTAGACTGTTCTCTTCCCCACAGGAGAATCCGGTCATTTTCTGGCGTGGCCTCCAGGGCCTGTACTTTTGCTCTGGGTTTCTGTGCTTAGACTCGTAATGTCTATCCTCACACTTGGACCGGTAGGCAGAGCTGAGCCACCTTGGCTATGTCCTTTTTTGGTCTGGGTTCTCCCTCGCCAGGTGCTGAAGAGCACCACTGGCCCCGTCAATTCTTCTACCAGTGACATGAAACATGGGCTGCCTCTTCTTGATCTTCTCACTTCAAACACTACTGCAAAAGCACCTTTGTGGCCTCCCAGTGCTTCCACCTGACTCTTTCCTTCTGGCGATGTCTCTTCAGGCCTTGAAGGCAGTCTTCAGAGCAGGACACCCGGAGAGTGCACAGTTCTACCTGCTGGTTACTGCCTTCGGCTTCACACCACTTCAATTATGGCAAGAAACCTCATTTCTAGATTTGCCTTCTCTGAGGGAACCCGTGGGTGTCTCACTAACAGGATGCCCCCTTTCTTTCCTCTGAGGAAAGGCAGGGTCTGTCTTTTAGCCCGGACACAGCCACATCTCCCCGTCCCCAGGAACTGCCATACACTATGGCAGAGGCTGGTCTCACTGGAACACCATGTACTTAAGCTAAACGGCTGTAAACTCCTTATTCACCTCTTCTCTTATTCTCAAACCAGCTTGGTAGTAATGGACCATTTAAGCAAGACATTTCAAAGGACAAGAGTCTATAGGATTGGGAGGCAGAGGCAGGTGGATTTCTGAGTTCGAGGCCAGCCTGGTCTACAGAGTGAGTTCCAGGACAGCCAGGGCTATACAGAGAAACCCTGTCTCGAAAAACCAAAAAAAAAAAAAAAAAAAAAAGAGTCTATAGGAAGGACATACAGAGCATCTGGACCAGTGTCTTTTCCTCCTAGCTCAGCAATCAGGGGTTTCTGGTCACAGCAGAAGCCCTCACTCCTCCATCTTATTCCAAATGTCAGAATAGCTAGGTGTGAAGGGGGAGGAAGGAAGGAGGGAGAGACTGAAAAAAATTAAGAAACTTGCTTGTTGTGGGGGGAAAGAGAAGTGGAGGCAGAAGAGAATAGGGCTGAGAAGAGAGAGTTCATGCAGACAGGGGTGAGACCAGCAAAGAGAAGGCCAAAGCATTAAACAAAAACAACATCATCAACAACGACAACACTGTGGAGTGAGATGGTGAAGAGACCAAGGAACAGGATGGGGGACTTGGTGTCACCATGTGTGGGACTGCATAAGGGTATCTTGGTTCTTGGCTGGGCATGGGCCTGGAACCCCGAGATTCCAAGGGAGAAACGGCAGGTGTTCGGCCATGTCACCAGAACCCAGGATCCTGACTCGCAGCCTCCATGGACCTACATTGTTCAGTCACGTAGGCCATTACAGCCCCTCCCAAAGTGCACAGGAAGAGGGCGTGACTACAGGCCTCAGGCCCTAGAGAGATTTACATACTAATGAAGGCCAGAGGGCGGAGCCAATTAAGCATTCTTCCCCAGACCCTCTCCCTCTCTCCCTCCCTATTTAACTCAAGTCTGCCCTGAGTTGGGGGTGGGGGGGTCCATCTACCATCCGCCATGAAAATAAATCCTTTTGGAACCAAGGACTTTCTCGTGTCTTTGGGGCCTGCCACCGCCAAAGCCTCCAGCCTCTGGAACCTTAGACTTTCTCCTGTTTGGGGGACCTGTTGCGTGGAAAGCCTCCGGGACACCACCTTGGCTATTTACCCACAACCATGGGCCATAAGCTCTCTTCCCTTCCCTGTTCTCTGACGGAGGTGAGAGCCAGCCTTTCTGGTCCTTCCTGTATCACATCCACTTAAATGTCACTTCCTGCAAAACAAATGAACATTCCTGTCACACAGACATGCAACTGAATCCCCCAGTTCAGCCGTGCTTGATTTTGGCTAGGCCTTGGGGGCATAGGAGGGCCAGGCTGGCTGTTCATGGGACTGTTCAATTAGAACCTATGGGGTGGGATCCAGCAATGTGCAGTTGCTTCAAGTCCCCAGTGCACAGCCGGGCCTGAGAACCTCTGTTCTACACGGGCATTCAGTCCGTGTTTGATGACAAGCTGAACAGACACAAGTCAACTCTTTTTGGGAAACCAGCATTTAGCTTGAGGAGCCATCTAGAATCTTCCATTGATGCTCACTCAGCAAGAGTTGTGATCATGAAGAATAAGTCTAAGTTTCAGCTATAGCTGGGCTCAGTTTAGTGAGACACATGGGTCTCTGGGGTTTACAGACACAAACTTCTAGCACTCTTGAAGGCCTTGGAGACAAGGCACAGATATTAGCAAACTAGGCCGTGTAATCGGCCACTATGACCCTACTGCCTGCTGCTCCAGCCCTTCTGCACAAAGCTCTGCTCTTAGTAAACTGTTCCCACCTTCTCAGCCAGGCACCTGCCTCACGTTCTCTGACGTGCACGCTCATCAGTACCATGGTGGCATCTCTGCGCCAGCTGCTGTTTATGGGCCTCCCTTCTTCTGCCTGTCATCCTTAATGGGTCTGCCACAGGCTGCCCGTTTCTGCTTGCTCCTGATACTGTCAAGGTCTCTGGTCATCTGTCATAAAAAATACCTATCTCTTCTGCTGCAAGACTCTTCAAACAGTGGCCCTGGCTAGGTGCAGGACCCACCCATCTTTCCTGGGCTTAAACACAGCTTTTCTCCCATGGACTCTACAAGAGACTAGGACTTGACTTGTCTCTAAATCTGATGCCCTGCTGCCTCCTCCAGCAGGATGAGCTCTTGCAAAACATCCGTCCTTGCGCAGTCTCTCCCCTGGGACAGGGGAGTCTTGTGACCAACATAGATGCAGGCCATGCTGATGCCTACCCCTGCTGTCTCATTTGGGAAAGGTTGCACTTCAGCAGGACAATACTATAGAATAGCCCCCTCGTTATAAAGCAAAACAAAGGTCCTACAGAGAAGAGATAGGGATGGGTACCCTGGAACACTGTCTCTCCAAACTGCAAAGCGGAGATTTGTGAGGAGGTGTGCTATTGTGTCTCAGGGGTTTGTAAGGGTCCTGGAAGACAGGAGTGAAAGGCATGAAGGGTTTAGTTTATTTTTAAATTTGGGACTTCTGTAATGGTTAGTTTTTACATACAGACACTAAAGCAATGGACTCTTCTGCCCCCCACCCCTACCCCGCTTGCTCTGCACAGTGGGTAGTGCTCACCTCTTCCTAACCTGAAATGTGTTATCTCCCTCCTCCTTTGGTGATCCTGATAACCCACTGCTGGTCACAGCTCACTGTCCTCTCCCCACCTGCTACAGTGCTGCACAATGTTCAGGGAAACCACTGCAATACTTTTCTCCACTGTTCCTTCCTGGGTTTCCAATTCCATCCAGGGCCAGTAGCTTGAATACTATCAAAGGTGATGAGATAAGAAAGAAATGTCCAGGTAACAGAAGAATATAAGCTACGGAAAGGCAAGGATCAAATTCCGGCTACAGGTGAGAAACAGTTACAAGAGGTGCCCTGCTCTCAGCAAGGCACCGCTGCAGAGGGTAGATTGATAAACCAAGGCGAGAGACAGAGAAAATGTGCACAGTACGCATGGGGCTGTAGGTAAAGCTGCTGGAAGGCCCTGGCATTCTGGTCTAGCAGGCAGGAGCAAGCACGGGTATCAGCTCCTTCTAGGCAACAACTAGTCAGAGCGGGCTGCCCTTACCCAGAGACTGTACACAGTATAGGGGAAAAGAGAGTCCAGAAGAAAGCCAGAATGCCAACCTTTACAAGAGCAAGGAGACCTGGAATGGGGTACCCAGAAATACAAAGAGAAACAGACTTCTGGGAGAGGCCAACCTGGTCAGGGATGCTATGGACTGTCCAGGACTGCGGTGCTGAGAGGCCTGGAGCTTCTCTAGTGCTGATGTTGTAGGCATGGTGAGGAGATGCAGAAAGTAGGATGAGAGACATAGACCAAGGGGAAAGCAGGGAACAGGCAGTGACCAGCAAGATGGAAGTGGATGCATCAGAAGACACAGGTGTGGGGGAGCAGGTGATAAGAGTGAGGCTTCTCACAAGGCATGGGCTGGGCCAGGACTCAAGCGTGGGTCTTAGAAGCAGACGTGGCAGATGAAGGCAATCGCTGACAGCAGGCAAATCTGTAATTAGGTAGCAGATGATCACCATTCCCACCCCGCCAAAAGGGCTTCTGTTCCCTCCCTGGAGCAGAAGGTACAGTCAACAGGTTAGAGGGAGGATCAGAATGAAGCTCAGAGAAGAAGTGTCCCCCAGGAGCCACATGAAAACAGGAGGGCATGACCAGAAGTCCTTAGATGTTTGCCTTCCTGTGTGGCTTTTCTCTAACAAGTCGCCAGGGGGCAGCAGAGAGTCAACAGGGTCCTGACTCTTCCTGTGGTTGGTTCTGCCAGCAGATCTCCATGAGAGGATTGAAAAAGGGAGAGCTGGTAGGAGGTGGTGGCAGACTTCAGAGCTCACGGCTCTGGTCTGAGTCAGAGCAGTCCACACTTAGAGATGGTGTTGAGGTACGTGGTGTGGCCATGTGGTTGGTTGGTTGCCAGCTGAAGTGACTGACAGGCTGAAGATCCTTACGTTGTCAAGGAGTGGAGGCCAGATGGGGGATGTTGAAATCAACCAGGAAGAAAACAAGACATGAAGGGGAAGAAGAAATCTAAGGGGAGGTGGACAGATGGTCCTATCTATCCTCCATGAGAAGGGAGGTGGGCAGATGTCTGAGACACTAAGAGCTGGACCTCAAATCCATCAGTGAGGGACTATAATAGTCCAGGTCTTGCCCTGCTTTCCACTTTGGATGCTCATAGTGTGGAAGGAAGAGAGCCATGGGCTTCCCCAGAGTACAGCTAAGTTCCATTCATGGAGAAGACAGACGGCCCTGCAGGGACAATCCTGCCCGGGATCTGATGGCCATGGGAAAAAGGGTTCACAATGGAGATTATTTAAAGTATTTATTGAGCAGTCATCCCTGCCAGGCTTTGGGATGGACAGATTCTCTGCATCTCTGGATAGGGATATCCGGCCATAAGATTGCAGAGTGGGATGGGGTGGCCAGCAGGCATGGAGGAGGGAAGAACTCAGGTTCTCAGAGGCTGATATGATAGGGGGCCCAGGCTTGGACTGGTAGTCATGTAGCCTCTTGGTTGGGTAGGTTGGTAGTAGTGAAATTTCAAAGACTTCAAGGAGGGCCTTGAACTTGGGGATTCTCCATGGGGGCTTTGCTAGAATCTCTGGGGTGGGGGACCTGCTTCCTGAGCATCACTCATGGAAGATGCTTCAGGCTGAGATGCCATGGAGAAGCAAGGGACAAAGAGTAAGTTGCAAAGCCACTAGTGAAAACTGGGGAAGCCCTGGAGACAGTTTCCAAGTGACTGGAAGGGTCTGTGCATCCAGCAGAGGGCATGATGAAGGCAGGCGGCTCCCCTTGCTTTGTGAGAAAATTCATATCTGAGAGAGCACGGCAGCATACTTCTGGCAAGTGTGGTTAGCTGGCTGGAAGGATCAGAGTCAGAGCCTGCTCAGTGGGATGATGGGAAGACCAACTCGGTAGACAGCAGGTCCTGGTGGGTTGGGAGTTCCAACATAGGTGGGAGGTTCTTCAGGTGCTCATCGCGGAGGCGTGTGCTGCTAATGAGGGTTCTGTACACGCTCTGTACACTCTCCAATACGGAATCTCAGACTGTGAGCTTGGGTACCACAGGGACCTCCAGTCTAACCTCTTACTCTCGTGCTTTGCTTTCCCTGGACACTTTACAGCCTAGTCTCTGATGACATGCCTTCAGGTCCAGAAGAGTCATCGGTTTCATTATAAGATGCCTCGAAAGAAGTTTTCTAACATGAAGTAAAATCTTGCATAGGGCTTCTGTGATGGTTTGAGTGAGAATGTTCCCCCGAAGCTCATGTTTGAATCCTTGGACCCCAGTTGATGGAACTGTTTGGGAAGGATTAGGAGGTGTGGCTTTGTTGGAATAGATGGGTCACTGGCAGTGGACTTTTGGGGTTTCAGAAGTCTACGTCCGTCATTCCCAGTTAGCAGCTCTCTCTGTAACTTGTGTTTGTGGACTGGATGTGAGTTCTTGGCTCTGGCACCATGCCTGCTGCCTGCTGCCAAGCTCCCTGCCATGATGATCATGGACTGACCCTCTGAAACTACAAACGCAAATAAGCTCTTTCTACTATAAGATGCCTTTGCATTGGTGTCTCTCCCAGCAATAGAAAAGTAAATAAGACATCCCTTGTCCGTTATTTGTTACCTGTGGGCACACTCTACCTATCACTAACCTTCATTGACTGACTTTGATGGTGTTGCTTTTCTTTTTTTTTTTTTTTTGGTTTTTTTGAGACAGGGTTTCTCTCTGTAGCTCTAGCTGTCCTGGAACTCACTCTATAGACCAGGCTGGCCTCGAACTCAGAAATCCGCCTGCCTCTGCCTCCCAAGTGCTGGGATTAAAGGCGTGCGCCACCACCGCCTGGACATGGTGTTGCTTTTCAATCAAAATCTTCTACCTAGCCCTCGCTGTCCTGGAACTCCTCACTCTGTAGACCAGGTTGGCCTTGAACTGAACTCACAGAGAACCATACCTGCCTCTGCCTCCAAATGCTGGAATTAAAGGTGTGTGTCACCACAATACCCGGCTCATTGATTAACCAGGAAATGAACTCTTGTCCAGCTTTCCTCATGGAGCACTTACCAGATAGAAAATACACAAGGAAGCTCTAGAGAAGCTTCTAGATCTAGAAGATATTACAGAGGATAACCAGGGCCTGGAGCGAGTAGCCAGCAAGCACTGCGGAAGTGTTCTTGCCCAGTGCAGTAAGAGGGCCAGCATGCAATAAGCATACAGCTAGTACATGCAGACTGTCCTTGGTACGGCTTAGGTTTTATTGCCATGCCGGGAAATTTCCCAGGTGCCAGGTGAGCCTGAGAGTCCCCTGCTGTGGCTGTGGCCTTTGGGACCCAGAACAAGGGGAGGCAGAAGTCCTAGCTAGGCTGAACTCCGAGCAACTCACCATATTCTCGGCATCTGAGTCCTCTGAGCTGCTGATTACCACGATGCGCTCCTCTGAAATGGAGAGAGAGGGGGGTGGCAACATTAAATCTTTCCTGGGGTCCACTGGCTGGGGTGAATTCCAGGAGAATCCTTGTAAGCCAATGGTCTGGGGATGGTGGATGCCCTGTCCTGTGTGTGCTAGGAGGAGATGGAGTGTTTATGTCCCCAGAGCACAGAGACTGGCATTGGCAGTTTTGGAGGGAAGGAGGTAGCCCCTCGGGTGTCCCACACTGGAATCATAGCAAAGTACAGGGTAAACTACTGGTGCCATATTCAGTGGCTGCTCAGAGCAACTTGGACACGGGAGTCCTGGTGGCTTTGAGTGCCCAGGTGGGATCAGAATGTGGAGGTGGGGCCTGGGGTGTTCCAGATGACTGAGGGCAGCAAGACAGTCTTATACAGGTGTCCCCCTGCTTACTCCTCCTACCTGTTTCTCCTGTGTTACTGGTAACATGATTGTTGATAGGCAGGGGGTTCTCTTTTTCAGGGACGGTGCTCTCAGGTCTGGAAGTCCCATCCTGATGCGGAGGTGAGGCCTTGGAAGTGCTGGGTCTAGGCTGCTCAGGGGAGCCTGTGTCCCACCTGTCCTCATTCTCCTCTGTGGACTCCATCTTGATGAGCTTCCTGGAGCAATCTGGGTGACAGCACTTCCTCTTCATGGGGCTGGATGTCTGAGAAGCCTCCTGAGGAGTGGAGAGTTACAGAGGTGATGTGGGTGCCTCTGGCGTTGCTGAGACACTGAGCTGAGTGCCAGGGGTCTGTGGCATGTCTCCCCTCCCATTCTTTTTTTTTTTTTTTTTTTTGGTTTTTTTTTTTTTTTTTGGTTTTTCGAGACAAGGTTTCTCTGTGTAGTTCTGGCTGTCCTGGAACTCACTCTGTAGACCAGGCTGGCCTCGAACTCAGAAATCCGCCTGCCTCTGCCTCCCAAGTGCTGGGATTAAAGGCGTGCGCCACCACCGCCCGGCTTCCCCTCCCATTCTTTTGGCCATACTAAGCATGTCTCTGCAAACAGGAGGCTCTCTCAGGTTGCCGTGCGCACTGGTCATGGCTGCTGTACAACAGTCTTGCTTGGTCTCCTAGCTTTGGCTGCCTCAGCATCCCAGCTAGGCTGAGAGTGGCTCAAGCTTCCTAGGGGAGCAACCCAGAGCAATGGAGAATATGGAGCAGATAGAGGCCTTAGAAAGGCCAGATTCTTATCCAATCACACCTCACTGTTGGCCGAAGTCAAAGCCTTTCAGATTGAGGCAGGGCTGAGTAGGAGGCTTACCTCTTTGTAGGTGGGGGCTTCTTTCATAGAGAAGGCATACACTGGTACAGGGTGTGCTCCAGGCACTGACTTCACCATCGCCACAGGTTGGGTCTTAGACAGCTCCAGGGCCTGAGCCTGTGCCCTCTGCACTTCTTTGGGCTGTAAAATGAGGTAACCAGGAAGTCAGAAATGAGCAGACCCTGAGCCTACAACCTGCCTCGGGTGTAAGCTTCTTGGTCCCAAATGAAGAGCTCCCTGGGACAAGGAATTCTTACCAAACTCTCCATGATGTCACCTCCTTCCAACCTTGGGATGCAGGTACCCAAGCACCCCTTCAATCTGTGTGTGTCCTGACAGGGCAGGAAGATACATCAAGGACCATGGTGCCCAGTTCCTCAGAACATGCTTGACAATCAGCCTAGCCTGCATGCCTCTAGAGACAAGCTGCTTGCTGTTGAAACCAGCACTTCCCTCGGCAGCAATAGAGGTGCAGCAGTCAGGAACTCTGAGGTCAGCCTCCTAGGAGCTTGCCTGACCCCTGAGTCTTAACTCTATCTAGTAGCTACTACACAAATTGGCATTACTTAAAACTCACTATGCCCTCAGTCTCCCTCCATAAAATGGAATAATAACGCTTGCTTCATATGGCGATGTGGACGAAATGTGCGAAATGCTATCACCATGCCTAGAAGGGTATCTAGTACTTACAGAGACCCAGTAGTGAGGGAGGCATGGATGCCTAATGAATAAAATACTAGTTTGCTTACTATTCTATGTCAGACTTGGTGTTCAGGGTTTTGTGTCTCTATCTCTAAATGAAGCAGGAGCAGCTCCTCGAATGGTGAAAAGAGAGCTGGAGAGATGGCTCAGTGGTTAAGAACATTGGCTTCACTTGCAAAGGAGCCAGGTTCAGTTCCCAGAACCCACACGACAGCTCGTCACCACCTGTAACCCCAGGTTTAGAGGATCTGATGCCCTCTTCTGGCCTCTGCAGGTACTGCACCCATATGGTACACTCTCATGCAAGCAAAAAATTCATATACATAAAAGTAAATAAATCTTCTTTTTTAATGAAAGAATTACCACATGGCTTACCAATTCTACTCCTAGGTACTGCCTCAAAAGTTCTGAAGGTAGATGTTCAACTGCAAACCATGCATGGGGCCGGGCAGGAAGCCCAGTGGTAAAGCACCTGTCTGCCAAGCTCCAAGCCCCAGGTATTCGATCTTCAGAACAGGAGCAGGAAGTTTAACCATCTTATTTTTGCCTTTCCGGCTCTGCAGTTGCTGGCATATAAAAGGCTCTTGTTATACACAGGCCAGGAACTCCCTGTAGGCAAGGCTGGGTGCTTCTGCTTCTGTTCCCTCAACACAACACTCGCCAGCATTGAAGAAGGAGAGGGTAGTAAGGTGGAGGGAGGCTTGGGGGAGGGCAGTGCTGTGTCCGCAGAGCTGCCTCTCCTGACAGCACTGGCTGGCAGCCGTTTCTCACCCTCATATGACCTTTGCTCCCACACACAGCTACCCACTTCTTTCCTGAGTCCTAGCCTCAGGCCCCAGGTGACAACCACGGTGAAAATGAGGAAGTTTTGTGGAAGAGACTGCTGCCCAAATTCAGGTTCAAACTACCTCACAGCTGAGTCTCTTTGAGTCTTAACTACATCCCTGTAAGAGGCTCACCCCAAGGCAAAGCTAGAAAGGTTTAATACCCTTGCTGCCCACCAGAAGATCTGTCTGGTCCTGGGCCCATATCTTGACTTGCAGCCACACACAATAGTGACCAAGTTGGGGAGGGGAAAGATGTCAGGCACAGGAAGGAACTGAGAAAGCTTATCCTGCTGCAGGGAAGCCATGCCGATGAGTGCTGATGAAAGAGAAAGAAAAGGATGCCTGAGAAGCACTCAGAGCAATCAGAACAGGAAGTACTGCCTCAAGAATGGATGAACTTCCTGTTCCCAAAAGCATGAGCATGAAAGCCACCGAGTCAAGGAAACAGCAGAGGGAATGCCAACATGAGATTATCTAAGGGTATTTTCCAATCCTGAGAAATTAGTTTTTTAGGTATATGATGGCCCTGAAATCTGTGGGACTGAGCTCTGTTAGCCTTAAATCTAAAAACCATGTTCGTGGGACTGGAGGTCCGTCTATGCCAGCCCCAGAAAATGGCTGAGTCAGTCAGTGTGAGCTTCAGATATATCCTGTGTCACACCCAACAGGGCCGCTGTTTATACTGTACTTTCACCACCTGCCCAGCGCTAGACCTGACCTTTCCTGAACTGGCTCAGGGCCCATCAAGAGCTACTCGGGCATTTAGGAACCCTGCCCCTCTCCTCCTGAGAGCTCCAGTGCAGTCACCTGCTGCCCTCTCTCAGGCGCTCTCCCTCCAGTCATAGGAGGTCAGGACTCCCAAGCATCTGCCTGCTGTGCCCTACGTCCTCTCCTCACACATCAAACCCCTCTTACCTGCTCAAGGTCAGTCGGGTCCTCAGGAGTGCTGGCTGCCTCTGTCTGAGTGCTGGCAACCTCTGAGTGAGTGCTGGCTGCCTCTGAGTGAATGCTGGCTGTCTCTGGGCTGGCTCTCTTAGCTACAGCTGAATCTAGGGGGTGGGGGGACACAAAACAGAGAATACAAGAACACTCCAGTAAGAATTCTTAGCTGGGACAGTACCAGAGAGGAAGTCCTTGATGCCTCAGAGGGGCTGGAGTTGACTGCTGTAGGCATAAACACAAATAGAATGGGGTGGGGGTGGGGGAGTAGCACCTGGTGATACCTTTGGCTTTAAACCCCAAGTGCACATCTTTGCATCCCCAGGGAACCATTCACTGCCTAGATAGGGAAGATAGAAATCCATCTCCATTCTAGGACCGTATCTTTATGAGCTCATGGCTCATGTGGTCCAGGAGGGAGCCCTCGTATCCTTGGAACCTGCCTGGAGCCAAGAGGGGTACCCCTCAACAGTTGCTCACAACCAAAGTCCCAGCTTAAAGATTTAAACAAAAACCCTGAAGGTGTAAATGTGTAGTCATGGTCTTTGTCTGGAAAGCCACTCAATGTCACTTGATGCTCATTCAGGACACAGCTCCTGGATTTTGATTCAGAGCCAAGCATGTCTCTAGCTATGTGACGTGGCCCGGGATCCTCTCCCAGTTGGACAAGACAACACTTGAGGTCAGGAACTGGCCCGCCACTTCTATAACAGAGGCTCTAAGACCTAGAAGCTGACAGATGACTGCTTTTTTCTAGGGGAATTCTTCCTTTCAGTGTCTGACCAAACACCCCACAGCTAGGTTTTCTGAGTTTCCCCCTCTTCTAACCTTACAGACCAATTGACTTCGCTTTTTCCTGGGCATAGAAGGCCTGGAGTGGGCCCCAATGACATCTCAGTCTCAAGGCTCACAAGTCACATCTACTCCGTGGTCTTAGAAGTTTCCAAAGTGCCTCCACACCAGATCACCATATCCTCTCATTCTGTCAAGTATCAGAGCTGATACTTGTCTTTCATCTATCAAACGGAGATCATCTTTTCTGCTTTGCCTTCCCCTGGGGGCAGCTGTGAAGCACAAGGAGCCTTTAAATGACAAACCCGCTGCCTATGAGCATGGTCTCAACCTTTACCTGTTCTCTGGGTGATGCAGGAGATGAGGTCCTGCAGGCACAACTTGAACTCCTCGAAGCCGCTAGTGCGCAGCCGGAATTTCTGGTTCTGGGGCTCCTCCTGGCGCAAGCGGCAGAGTGCCTGGCGCACAAAGTCATGCATATCCAGCACCTCCTGGTCGGAGGCGTAGAGCTTCATCCTCTTGACCAGCACTGCACTAGTGCGGATGCGCTGCAGCACAGCTTCCAAGTGGCGCAGCTGGCCAGCTATTTCCTGGTAGTCGCGCTGGTAGCGCACGTTCACGGCCTCGAGCAGCTCACGCTCCTGAGCTTGCACATGTTCCACCACCTGCTGCACGCGTGCACGGATCTGCTGCTCGGTGTCTGCGCGTGCATGGTCCAGCTGGCCTATGGCTGTGCGCATCTGTATGTGGGCACTGTCGAAGGTTCTGCCCTGCTCCTCCAGAGCCTGCGTCATGGTGCCCAGCTCCTCATGCCGCTGCTGGATCTCCTCACTAATTTCGCACTGGAGATGGCTGTGGGTGCGGTCCAGGATCGCGCATGCGCAACACAGAGGCTTGGCACAGCCCTGGCAGTAGATGCTGCGGAGACAGAAGACCAACAATACTGTTTCTCGGTTTATGCTTTTTTTCCCCACTCAGTGTCTATAGATTTATACTACCGGATCTAGCCATAAAATACCAGAGGGTAAAAACAGATGGCTCAACAAGTAAAGGTACTAACAGCCAGCTTTGACAACCTGAGATGAATTTCTAAGTCCTATATGGTCGAAGGAGACAACCAAGTTCTGCAAGCTGTCCACTGAGCTCTACAGTGTGCCGTAGCACATGTGCAAACACACACATTAAAAAAATACATGTTGCCAGGCGGTGGTGGCACACGCCTTTAATCCCAGCACTTGGGAGGCAGAGGCAGGCGGATTTCTGAGTTCGAGGCTAGCCTGGTCTACAGAGTGAGTTCCAGGACAGCAAAGGCTACACAGAGAAACCCTGTCTCGGAAGAAAAAAAAAATGTTAAAAAAAAACCTACCACAGTACCAATTCCTCCTCCGATGCAGCAATGCAGACACATACAAGAGAAATAACTACTTCGCACCACTTCTTAATATCTCCTAATCCCAGTTCTGACCCACTTAGGCCCTAGTTGAATATGCTGTGGCTTCTTCCACATCCAAACTCTGAAGTACCTGACGTACATGCCACACTGGTTTTATACTTTTATCGTTAATACTTTTAACTATTTAACTATTTAAAAGTATTTATCATAAATGCTTTCAAGTATTTAACTTCAATATTTTTATCATTCTCTTTCACGGATGAAGAAGCCAAGACTTACAGCTCAAAATTGCAGAGAGGTAATATTTGATCTTAAAAAATAAAAACCAGGGCTGGAGAGATGGCTCAGTGGTTAAGGACACTGACTGCTCTTCCAGTGGTCCTGAGTTCAATTCCCAGCAACCACATGGTGGCTCACAACCATCTGTAATGGGATCTAATGCCCTCTTCTGGTGTGTCTGAAGACAGCTACAGTGTACTCATATATATTAAATAAATTATATTTTTTGAAAAAAAAATCAAAGTACAATCACCTGGTAACTTCCCTTCTTTCATTCAGGACATTCCTTTAGGTCTACAGGGACAAACCTAATATATTCTTTTAAATAGCTCCCTTAAAGCTACACAGACAGCTGTTTAGTTCAGCAGGCTACCTTTAAACAAACACTCAAGTGATTTCCTGCTTGTGCATTTTCTTCCTTCCTTTCCTCTCTCTTTTATTTTTTGACTGATATGAACAGTCATTTAATAACATAGCATCCATGTTAGTCAGCCTAATATATGGATGCCCTTCTCTCTATGAAATATAGTACAAATAACAGACTGCCAGATCAATGAATGTATATCTCTCTTAATATTTTATGCATGTAAAATATTAATGAATGATGTGAGGTCATGAATATGCTAATCAGTTGGGATAGTTTACAATGTATTTCACCGCATCATAGTGTACATGATAAATATATATAATTTTTACTAGTCAATTTAATATATAGGCTAACAGAGACTTTCACAGCATCTATTTTAATCATTCTATCTAGTTTTAAAATATGTTACAAGGTCAAGGGACTATACCTGTGTGATTAATTAAGAATTGTGAAATTGTAGGCGCCGCAGAGGTGGCTCAGCAGTTTAGAGCACTTGATACTCCCGCAGAGTTCCCAGTTTGATTCCCAGCACCTACACTGTGGCTCACAGTGATCTGTAACTCCAGTTCCAGATCTGATGTCCTCTTTTTACCTCTGTGGGCCCCAAGTACACACGTGGTACACACACACACACACACACACACACACACGCATGCAGGCCAAACACACAAAATAAATACAGTCTTTAAAAATGCTGGGCTGGAGAGATGGCTCAGGGGTTAAGAGCACTGACTGCTCTTCCAGAGGTCCTGAGTTCAATTCCCAGCAACCACACGGTGGCTCACAACCATCTGTAATGGGATCTGATGCCCTTTTCTGATGTGTCTGAAGACAGCTAGCTACAGTGTACTCACATACAATAAATAAATCTCTGGAAATGGAAATAAAAAACAAACAAAACAAAAAAAATGCTCTGATAGAATTTTAAAATTAAGAAATTGTTGTGAGCTATCTGGGTGTTATCAAGAGTTGCAATAGGAGAAAGAAGAGAGGTGGGAGTGGGGTGTTGAGAGAGGACCTGGGAGCAGAGGCTGGGGTGATGTTCTCTTCCTGGCTTTGGAGATGAAGGGAACATGTATCAGGGTAGAGGGGGGCAGCACCGAATGGAGAGAACAGAGTCTCCCCAGGAGTCTGCCAAGTGGGCCAAGCTCGGCTGGAACTTTGATTTAATCTCAGAACCAATTCAGATGTCTAGAATCCAGAGAGACAAGATGAGGGAGCTGTATTGTTTTAAACCCCTGAGTCTGTGATGATTTCTTATCGAAGCAATAGGAAGAAACCAGGCAGCAGCCTCGGCCCACGCTCCTAACCATTATAAGGCAGTTGCTTTAAATGTTAGAGGAAAAGTACTTTTAGTTACTTCTCCAGAGATATTCTACATTTGACTCTCACCCCCCGACCCCTGATGTTAGGAAAATGCTCACTTGAAATCTGGGGAAAGGTCTTTCTGGCATCATTTTGGCCTAAGTTACTAAGACCAGCATGACCTGAAACTCAACAGAGAGCTGTCAGACCCTGGTCCTCTGCCTCAGCAGTTCTCAACCTGCCCAGGTCATTCAAAGTGATACCACCTCAGTGCTCCCTCAGACACTGGAGGCTTAGTCCAAGCCAGCAGAGGATTCCCAGAGAGCTCAAGTAAGAGGCTAGGCCCCACGTATGCAGCTCTCCCCGCCGTGGGCGTCTGAGGTAAGTAACAGAGTTCTGTCAGCCAGAGAGAGATAGTGCCTGACTGAAGTGAATGGCAACGGACCAGAGGGGAGGCTGTAACAGATAAAGGCTTGACCTCGGGTCCCTGCCATTTGGAGGACTGAACTTTCAAAGCCTCTAATTCTCTGAGAAGGCTACGGGTAGACCTGAAATTGGGGTAATCTATCGAGGGGCTGCCACCTAGACCCAGGAATGATCTGTTGAGCCAAGTGACTTCTTCCTCTTCATCGGAGGGACACTTTGAGCAAATACTATGTGCTTGACACCATGAAAGAGGCAGAGGTGAGATGGGCGCCTGTGCCAAGAACCTAGATTCGGTCAAGGCAGAGAGCTGGGTCTCCAGAAGTGCAAAAGGATAGTTATTTGCTCCCAAAATATGCAAAAGAATGAACTAAAATGCTACTGAGCCAACAAGAAATCACTCTGCAAAAATAACTAGATTACCCTAGAATTGAGAGAGAGAGAGAGAGAGAGAGAGAGAGAGAGAGAGAGAGAGAGAG